GGTTGCAGGAGTTAAGCAGAGCAGTGGAGGAGAGAGGGTCTTGGAGATCTCTCATCCATAGGGCCGCCATGAGTCGAGATAGACTAGAGGGCAGTTAACAACAACAAATACTTAAATACGGCTATCATATCACCTCTTAACCCTCTCTTCTCCAGGCTGAATATACCCAGCTCCATAATTCTCTCCTCATAGGGTTTCATGGTTTCCAGACCCTTCACCGTTTTAGTCACCCTCCCTTGGACACACTCCAGCTTCTCAACAGCCCTCTTGAATTGTGGTGCCCCCAATTGGATACACTCAGACATACTCAAATGGAAGATGGAGTAAACTGCAAATGCATTCAAAAGAGATTCTACCTAAACATTAGGAAGAACCCTGTAATGTTAATTGTTGACCAACAGAGGAATGGGCTGATTCAGATGGTGGTGGACTCTCTTTCACTGGAGGTCATAAAACAGAGGTTGGATGGCCATCTCTCAGGAATACTTTAGCATGTACAGTTTTCCTGTATGGCAATGGGTTGGACTATATGTCATTTGAAATCCATTCCAACTCTGTGATTCTATTTCAGACCTAACCCAAGGCTACCAAGAGATGGTTTCCTGGGCAAGTCTCTTAGGTCCAAAACACAATGCAGAAATAATTCAGTTTGAGACCGCTTTAAATGCCCTGGCTCAGAGCTGGGGAATCCTGGGAATTGCAGCTTATTATGGCACCAGAGCTCTCTGACAGAGAAGGTCCACAAAATTACAATTCCCAGAATTCCCCCTTACATTGAGCCAGGACAGTTAAAACAGTGTCAAGCTGGATTATTTCTGCAGTGTGTTGTGGACCTTACAAAATCTGTATCTAATCACAGTATGCCTTGCTTCTGAAGTGCCTTTTTTATTTAGCAGGATCTTCCTGTTTATTTATTTTTAAATTATTTTTTGCTATCCACCAAGCCAATATTTCTGTTCTTGAGTGGCTTCCAAGAGGCTTCATCCAAGCAGCCGTTCTTAGTAGCCTGGTGACCTTCACTAATCATCAGTGACTCTTAACCCACTCTTTAAAGAAAGCCCTGGTGGAAATTCAAGAACATCCTCTTGTGGCAATTCTTCCCAGCAAACACAATATTGCTCTTTAATTTCACAATAGCTGGTTCCTTTTCTAACTGCCTGTTCTGCAGAGGAACAAAAGGTTGCTCTTTAGCCTTGTGAGGTGATTCATGTATTGCTGCAATGAAAACACCCTCACTACTTATCTTCAGACCCCTTATAATCTCCAACCTTTTATTTATAGCATTTTTATTCCATTCTTCCAATTAAAAAGGGTGTGGGTTTTTTTTACAACTGCTTCTAAATATCAACAACAAAACAGTCCCAGTTCTCAAGTTTACAAATGGAAATACATAACATAGAAGGAAAAGGGACTGGGCAGGAGGACAAAAGTAAATCTGGGCCTTACTTCTTACTTGCATATTTGGTTAGGTTCCTTACAATCAAAACACCTTCTTAGAAGTGGTTGCAACAGATGCTATCTTCATAGAATGGGGTCTCAGCCTTTTTGGCCTAGTAGAAAATCTGCGGGTGACAAGCCAACTTGGTCTGGACATATGACAACTTTTTTCCCAGAGCTGTGCTGGAATTTGCTGGCATCTTGTCAGTCCAACCATGGAAGGAAAGGTTCAGAGGCTTCCAGATCACCACCATCACGCCTGCTCTAACAGAAAGTCACACTTCTATTCCTGGCAGAATGGTTAGTTTTGATGGGGTGAGGAAGGGTCCAGTCCAGCTAGTGAAAATTGAAAAGATGGGAGTTACCTATGGCTCTTCCCTTTTTGCACAAGATTTGAGTTTGGAACCATAGTCCAACATGTGTAAACACACCTGTTTGGAAGGACAGCTCACTGATGTCAATGGGATGTATTCTTAAAACAGTGTATATGGCTGCCACCTTGTAGCAAACGTGTGCCTGAGCCTGGATTTTCCCTTTGGCAATTCCATAGCCAGAACTTCCTCACAGAATATCTGCTGTAACTCCTTTGCATATTAAATACTATCTGGAACACTTTACTATTGCTATTCTCTTCCTTCTCCTCCCAGTCACCCAATTTGCATAGTATCAGTTGATGCTCATATGGGAACTAGCAAATATAAGGAACCTCTTGAAATAGAAACAGTATATGGGTTTAAAGAGTTTATAAATTCATGTACATTTAAGTAAGGGCCAACTTCACATATGTACTGTATATCCATAATATGATATCTGCTGCCCAACAGAAGACATCTTACGTATGTGAAAGTATCAAATGCAGATCATGTCAACTCACAGCAATTCAGCCACAAGATTATAATTTGTAATAAAAGCAGTTCACACATCAGACAATGAGAAACAAAGATACATCAATCTCTGAACTGACCCTCAGCTCTACTCTGTTTTTACTCATTGTTTTATTATACTATTGTTTCTCTCAATATGTTTAACAAATGGTACAGCACCCAGATAGCCTTTGACTAGTGGGTGGTTAAAAAGGGCAATAAATAAATACCCATTTATGGGTAAAATAATTTCCAAGTGAATTATATGCCTTGACAGAGTGGTGGGCAGGAAAAAGACTGACTTTCTAGGAGTGACTCCCCCCCACAACACTGGAAAGTTTTCTTCTTCTTCCTACCTATTGGAGCAAGTGGGAAGAGGTACCCAAATTAAAAGTTAAAGGATGCTCCACCCCTATCTGATGGGAAAGGAGAATAGCTCTCCAAATGATTCCTGGAAACCATGGGCTGTGCTAGGGCATGGGGAAATAATAACACGCCTCGGTATGGCAGTGTAGGAGGATAAAAAAAAATGGGGCACAGGAAGGAAGGAGCTGAAGCTGGAAGGTGCCCATGAAAAGGAGGCATGGCAGGGGCTATTCAAGAGCAGGAGGCAGGTGCAGAGGGAAAGGGAGGCTGGACAGGTGTAATGCAGGCAATGTATCTCATCTCTGACTTACAAGGCTATAGCATATTCATTTGGATATTCCAGTCTATTACCAAACATTTTAATCAGAATGATATATCTTTCCCAAACTAAACAAAAAGAAAAGAGATTCCACCGAAACATTAGGAAGACCTTCCTGACAATAAGAGCTATTCGATAGTGCAATACGCTGCTTTGGAAGATGGGAGGGTCTCCTACTTTTGAGTTTTTTAAAGAGAAGTTGGATGGCCATCTGTCAGGAGTGCTTTGACTGTGTATCCTTGCATGGCAGAGGGTTGGACACGATGGCCCTGGTGGTCTCTTCCAACTCTATGATTCTATAAGTTTCAACTTAATATAGTACCATGACATTTATGTTATGAGCAACAGTTTTTTTAATGTTCAGTGATAATAATACAATGTCACTATCAGTACTTTCTGTGCTTAATTTCCCTTTGATCTCAACTACCTGCAATCATACCCCAAATCTGGTCTATATACCTGAAATTCTGAATAGCACTTTACGCATCTGATTAAATGGGTTATATTTCAAACAACTTATGTGAAAATTATAATAAAGTTGCTAAGCTTTAAGG